CACGCCCGGAGCGCGGGACCCGCAGGTCCGACATCCCGCCACACCACGCACCGAGGGTCCGCTAATTCAGGGACTCCTCCCTGATGTCCCCGGCTCTCAGGCTCCTGGTCCAGCAGGCAGGGTCCTCCCCCGCCCCCCCAAGGCAGAGGGGGCGGGGCGGAGCCTGGCAGCGGGACCCCGAGTGGAACGGCCCCACCCTCCCCTCAGCACTGGGCGCCCTGCGACCACACTCCCGTCCCAGGAGCCAAGGTGGACCTCGCCCGCCCCTCCCGCCCCACAGAAGGAAGAGGCGGAGGCCATGCAGTAACATTCCCCTTTAATAGCCTGGCGGGACCTCCAGTGGTGGAGGAATGGGGTGGCGGGGCCCCAGCCACCCAGTCCCCTTGGCCACCCACCCCAGAGCCCAGAGTGGGAGGCTGTGCGGCACCCAGCGGGGGGCTAGACAAGCCAATTCATTTCCCATCGCTGAGCGGGTCGGGAGGAGGCAGCGCCGACCTTAATCACATGGTGGTTAAAAAAAAAATAACTAGGAGCCGGTGGCAGGAAGGGGAGGCAAGGCTAGGGCATGGAATGACCCCACCTGCTGCCCCAATCACTCCACCTGTGGCCCCCAATAAATATTTGTAGGGGACGCCGGGGCTGTGGCCCTGGCAGGGGTGGGTGTGCGCCGACCCTATTTCAGGCAGCGCTCAAAGTAGGTGGAGCCGATGTAGCCACCTCGCATGGAGCGCTGCACGTTCTGCTCAAACAGTCGCCGGTTGTTCTGCAGGACCTCAGCAGCTTCCTTGTTCAGTGGGTCTTCAGGGTTGGGCTCCTGTGGCCAGTATGAGTGGGGGGGTCAACGGGCCTGAGGGGCAGAGGCGCCCACCTCTCCAAGCCCTACCCACCGCCCCTACTCACCAAGAAGAGATACTGCAGGCCATAAATTATGGAGTTTATCGTAAGGACTGGCTTCCAGTCCTCTCTGTGGGCAGAGAGCATGAGGTTCAGGGGCCGGTGGGTGGGTGGCTGCCACAGGCCCTGCTGGGACTGGACAGGTCAGGCCCAGGGCACAGGACAGGGTGGCTCGGAGGCTGGGGGGAGGGCGCACACAGAGCAGCACAGGCCAGGGAGAAAGTCAAGGTCAAGCCACAAGGAAGAAAACAGAAATGAAGAGACACAGGGACACAGACCACAGCGGGAGGAAAGGGTTGGACACTGGTTCAGTGCGAGGCCGTGAGGGGCCTGGCCGGCAGGGCTGGGAGAGCAGGGAGGGCCGGGCCTTCACCTGAGGATGTTGAGGCAGACGTTGCCCTCGAGGTCGATGTTGGGATGATAGACCATCGTCTCACACTTCACCTTGGGGGGGTCGTGTGGGTAACCCTGGCCCACCTGGCTCCGGGAAGAGAGGGGAGGTGGAGAGGTGCCCAGCAGGGTCTGGGGGGGCCTCAGCCGTTGCCTCCTCAGCCCACCCGAGACTCACCTTAAAACTGAACACGAACTTCCCGCTCTTGTAGAAGCCCTGCAAGAAGGGAAGAGAGGAGGAAGGCCCTAGAGCGCGTCCTGCAGGGCCTGGCAGGTGAGCCAGGCCTCCCTCCTCAGGACGGGCCAGGGCCCAGCCAGTGCCTGGGTGTCGGGCGGGGTGTGTCCTCACCTCATCAGGACAGATAACCAGCTTGAAGTTGAGGAGGTCGTCCGGGTCTGAGAAGCTGATGTCACACGTCTTGGGCAAGTTCAGCTCGTTTATGTCTGGGTTCGTGCGGCAGAGAAGGGGAACAAAGAGAGGCAAGGAAGGGGGAGGAGAGAGGAGGGTGTTCAGCAGGACCCACGGTCCCTCCCGGACCCTGGGGCTCTGTCCCAGGCTGTGCCCACACCCCCAACCCTCTCCCTGTTCCCCTCCCCAGTCTGCAAGCAGGATCTTCTGGATCCACACACACACCCCAAACATGCAAATTCAAAGGTGCCTGTGGCCTAGCGTCTGCCCAGCGTAAACTCCAAGCCCTCTGGACCCACAGCCCCAAATCCCTTTACTCAACAGCTAGGCCCCCCAACCCAGCTCCTAGCAGCCCCCACTCCCAAGTGTTCCCCCAAAGCCTCTGACTGCCTCAAACCCTAGGATCCGCAGCCATAACCCATTATCTAGTGGACTCTGCTGGTCCCCACCTGTCCACCCAAACTCGAGGACCCTGCCCCTCATCCCCTGTATCACCCCCTCACCAATCCCGGGTCCCAACCATCCCTCCTCTCTTCTCTCTGCCTGTCACCCCAAACCCAGCTTCCTTTCTGACCCCCCGACCCGTGAGGCCCCGGCTTCCACCCTCTACCACTCCTGTCCGATCCTCTCTGGCACCCGCCAGCCCTGCCTCCTCCTCCTGTCACCCAAACTCTGACCACATGAATCCCAAACCCTGAAACCTACTCCCCCGTCTGACTCGCATGTTCCCGGGGACCCCAGCGCAGCCCACTGCTCTCCCCTCTCCTCTGCCTGCCATCCAGGTGCCTGCCTGACCCCCGCCCCAGTCCCCAATACCAGGCGCCCGGCTTTCTGAGCACCCCGAATGCCCCATCCGGTGCCCCCAATCCCTGAAACGCCGGTGACTGCATTACCCCACCGCTGGTCCATCACCCAGGCCCTGACCTCCGACCCCACCCCCCCCCGCG